ACCGGAACGTACCCTGGTTACGGTCCGGTATACCGGAACGTACCCTGGTAACTATCTAGCTGATATGGTTATTGTCAGGGTTAGGGTTAGGGTTAAGGAGTAGGCGTAGGCGACTCCCTAAACTCGTTAGTGGAGTAGGCGAGGTACGGTCCGGCATATTAGATAGTAGTATTTAGTACCAGGGTACGTTCCGGTATACCGGACCGTACCCAGGGTACGTTCCGGCAGTACCCTGGGGGACATAGACCCTATCAGCCACACTATACAGTTACACTGTTGTCGAGTATAATACAGTACTCTTTATTTTCCATGATTAGTATTACATTTCAAGTACAGGTAAACAAATCACACTGAGTAAACGGACTTCTATATATTCTGCAGTAAACACGCACAGGTACCGACAACGAGGCCTACGCGACTAAGCATAAACCACAATGTCAGGCTCGTAAGCGACTGTTTACACAGTCTCATTCACAGAGTCCAACTTTACCTACTACTTTAATAAAGTATTTTATTAACTAGTACAGTAAAACTCGCATAAGTCGTCATCGTCTAATCGTCATCGTCTAATCGTCTAATCGTATAAGTCGTCAATTCGCGTAAGTCGACATGGACGTCAAAGTCCAGATTCGCTCTCATAGTAAATTAATTGGAATAGCCCCGCCTAAGTAGTCGACATGTATAAGTCGTCATTATGTACAAGTCGACGCCCTCAGACAGGTTCATGTAATACAATTCAACAGTAATCTGTAAGACGTACCCTGGGTACGGTCCAGTATACCGGAACGTACCCTGGTAACTATCTGATATGGTTAGGGTTAAGGTTAGGGTTAGGGTTAGGGTTAGGGAGTAGGCGTAGGCGACTCCCTAGACTCGTTAGTGGAGTAGACGAGATACGGTCCGGCATATTAGCTAGATAGTACCAGGGTACGTCCCGGTATACCGGACCGTACCCAGGGTACGTTCCGGCAGTAGGCCCTACCCAGGGAGACATAGAACCTGGCAGCGTAAGTCGTCATCAGAAATGCCGATGGCGCAATGTACGGTCTAGGAATGCGCGAGCTGGCTGTCGCAGACGGATTGTTGGACGCATTGTGTTTTTTCCAGCTCGCAGCTCGCACGCCCCCAGATTCCCCACTGTATACAGTGTATTATATAGTTTACTAACGGGATACCCGGCGTTGCCCGGGGAAATCAGTGGCGTTACTCAGTTGATGACCGCTTGGTTGAAAGGAAAATACCCAAAAAAATCGAACTATCTATCTATCCATGCATCCATCCATCCATCGCATGCCATGCCATCCTATCCCATCCCATCGCACCGCATCCCATCCCATCACATATCCCATCCCATCCCATCGCATCCCAAGCCATGCCATGCCATGCCATCCCATCCCATCGCACCGCATCTCATCCCATCCCATCCCAGCCCATGCCATGCCATGCCATGCCATCCCATCCCATCGCACCGCATCTCATCCCATCCCATCCCATCCTATCCCATGCTATCCCATGCCATGCCATGCCATCCCATGGCATGCCATCCCATCCCATCCCATGCCATCCCAACAGTAAAAAATAA